TGCTTCCTTGCTTCCTTGCTTTCTGGCTTGCTGGCTTGCTGGCTTACTGGCTTGCTGGCTTGCTGGCTTGCTGGCATACTGGCTGGCTGGCTGGCTTCCTTCCTTGCTTGCTTGCTTGCTTGCTTGCTTGCTTCGTTGCTTCGTTGCTTCCTTGCTTCCTTGCTTCCTTGCTTCCTTGCTTCCTTGCTTCCTTGCTTCCTTGCTTCCTTCCTTGCTTGCTTGCTTGCTTGCTTGCTTGCTTGCTTGCTTGCTTGCTTGCTTGCTTGCTTGCTTGCTTGCTTGCTTGCTTGTCTTTTCCTTTTTTTCCCGGATTTATTCCTTTGATTGTTCCTTAAAAAAAAGAAAAGATAAACAATGAATAAATAAATAAATAAATAAATAAATAAATAAACAAATAAACATGAAAGTAAAATAGAACAAACCATTTCTGGGTTCTTTATTTATTCATTTTGTTTAATTTTATTGGTTCTTCATTTCCTTACTTCTGTCTTTCCTTTGTTGCTGTTTTTCTGTTTCCCCGTCTTTCTACTCAACCTCTTTGCGTTTTTTCCTCTCTCTCTCTCTCAGGCTTTTATCCCTTTGTTTCGCATCTCTTTCTCTGTCTCTCTCTCTCTCTCTGTGCTTTGTTTGTGTCTGTCTTTTTCATTTGGCCTCTTTCCTTTTCTTTCTTTTCCTATTTCTTTTTTGTTTGAGGGTACTGATTTCAGCTCGATCAAGCAAACAAGCGAAGTGAAAATGACTGCTCCGCCTTGAATGTCTCTCTGCCTTTCCAGCAGGTTCAGCCGCAAGGGAGTGGAGGCCGCAAAGAGTGCCGGCAGCCAGCTCTTCAGCAAGCAGGCGCGACCGGAGCAGGGCACGGGCGGGTCGTATGTGACCGATGCTCCAGAGTTGGTGTCCTGCCTGGGGATCGAATGGCCGGCTAGGACCTGCAGGGAGCGTCGCGACACTTCTCCAAGGCCCTGTGGATGCTGCAGTCGGGCAAGGCCGTCAGCCTGAGTCAAGAGAGGGCAAGGGCCACTAGCTGACATTTAGCTGCAGATCAGGTGGCAGATGCGAGCGACGCGTCGGGAGCCTTGTGCTTGCTTGGGTGTGCAGAGGGCTTGCTTAGCTTGCTCTTGCTCGAGAGCCGCTGGGGCGATCCAAGAGTCCCAGCCCAGCACGTTTCATTTACAGATCCTTTCAGGGCCAGATCCGTCGATCCTCGCGCCGAATCGCCGGAGGTCGTGGTGCAACTCCACCCGCTTGGCGCTGCATTCGAACAGGGCCTTCTCCGAACTGCGACAAGAGCGCCGCGGCAGCGTTTGATCTGTCATCAGGGCATGTTCTCATTTCCGTTTGACTTTGCGGTTGCTTCTGGTCCTGGAGCGTGGCCTGCATTTTCTGTTCTCTGCTTGGCTCGCCTGGCTTGTAGCTTGTCTTGCATGAGGGGCCGTTATCTCAGGAACTGGCGGGCAGCAGAGGACCGGCGCAAGAATCGTTGGGGCCTCCTTTGCATGCGGTGCATCAGGACGACTGCACAGAAGCGTTGAAGATCGACCCACAGGCTTGGGCTCAACAGAGCCTTGGGCTTGCATTGAGTGAGCAACGGACAACATTGCTGGCAGTCTGTTCTTAGTTAAGGCAGGACACCTGGGGGCGGCCCAAACTCCCCAGCCAAACCAGGGGGCCGAGCCAAGTCGCGCCTCTTGAGATGCCTGTTGCATTACGTGTTACGGCTCCAGGCTAATCTGACTTGCAGTTCAAGGGTCGGAGCCAGGTGTCGAGAGAGCCGGGAGGCCCGTTCCTTTCGGCCGCAGGCGGTCAAGGCGCTGTACCGCCGGGCCATGGCTCGAGAAAAGATGGGCCGCGCCGCGGAAGCCTTGAAGGACGGCTCTTTGGGCACGTGAAGCTCGGCGCAAGTACTTCATGCAGAATCCACGTCCTGCAAGCTGGTTGTGTGGTTTTGCGGCAAGCCCATTCAGATCGGAGGGTTTGACTTTCTTGGGTGCAGGACGTCGACGAAGCTCTTAAGCTGCAGCCGGGGGCAGAGGACTGGCGAGGCATTGCACGTTGTGGGCCGAAAGACTCGAGGCGAAGACGGCGTGCCAAGCTTTTGGTTGTGGTTTCTGATTCGATTGAGTTCTGATTTGATCATCGGACAGCCGCAGATGGGCACCTGCCGTTCAGGAGCTTGTGGCGCTGCAGAAGCGGCTGAAGCCCGCGCCAAAGGCTGAGACAGGCCAGCCGAAGGTGGCTCCCGGATGAGCAGTTTCCCTTGTCGCTTCAGCCAAGCCCAAAAGATTACCCTCAAAGACGGGCCCACGTCTCCAGGCTTCCATTTTTTTCTCTGGAATGCACGGCCGGCCTGCCGCATGCGCAGTTGTGCTTGCCAAGCAGGCTTCAAGCGCATGGAGATTGTGGAGGCCAGCGATGATGATGAGGATTTCGGGGATCGAAGCCAAGCAACACGGGGCCATGGGGTTGTTTCTTTTGAGGGCACCTTTGGTTTAGAAGCAAGCTTTGACACACACACACACACACACACCGCACACCCACATTTGTGCTGACCGCGTTTCACTCGAGCGGTTGCATGCTGGGTCATGCGAAACACTCCCAGGAGGCACAGGAACCGAGCACGCAAGCAACGAGTGCATCCACATCTCCAAAGGCTCAGGCTCTGCTTTTGCCAATCAGCAGTTGTATTACATATGGCTTTGGCTCAAATAAATGTACCAAAATGGCACTTTGGTAAATGGAACCAAAGACTAACACCCGCGTAACCCTGGCTCATTAATTTTGAGCCACACCCATATATATGTATATATATATATATATATATATATATGTATATATATATATATATATATATATATATGTATATACATGTATATATATATATATATGTATATACATGTATATATATATATGTATACATATATTTATGTATATACATATATATATATATATATATACATATTTATATATATACATATACATATATACATACACACACATACATGCATACATACACACATATGCAGTTTCTCAAAATGGTGGTTCCCTGAACCTGGTTAGGTTTTTGGTTGGTTTGCCTTCAACTACCATTTTGAAAGCCATTTTGAGAAGCCACCATGCCATTGGACTTGCGACATCGGATTTGTCCACCTGCATTCGCTCCGCAGCCCTACCTCTCCTGTTTCCGGTTTTTTCTCCCTCTTCTTGCGAGAGGCTCTTACGTTCTTGCAGTTTCGTTTGTGCACGCCGGGGCAGTTTCGTCTGTCTCACAATCGGACCGCATTTGCCGATTCTTTTCCGGTGTTTGCTCCTTGAAGCTTGTGGTTTTCATGCATTCAGACTATGCACGTGCCAGTTTACTTTTGCCCTACTGTTGGCTCGCTCAACGAAGGTTTTTTTGTTCATGCAGGGAATGCATTCTCATTGTTCTGTGTTCTGTTTCTGCTAGTTTTGCGGCCTTGCTTTGCCCCAAGAGGGCCTTTTGCCCTCTTGCCTGACAGTCTCATGCCCACCGATTGCTCCCGCTGTCGACAATCTTGGCCGCAATCGTGCTCGAGGGGGAGGTGCTTGGCAAACTTATTTATATGCTGACGGCTGCTGGGGCAGGTTCAATCTGCACAAACTGAGTGAGTCTTCCTAAATCTTGCTTGCCCTTGCTATTCTGACCTGTCTTGCCTGGTCCTGAATTTTGACGCCTTTCACTCTTCCATACTCATGTTTGGCATGTCGGGCTGCCTAGGTTCCAGCTATTCCCGAAGCCTTTTGCTCGGACTAACTTATCTATTCAGCTGCTTCCTTTACCCACTTCTCCCTCCACCAACTCCATTGGTTGCAACGCTCGCTTACGTTCTTGCACGGCCGCATGGCCGCACGGCCGCACCCCACTTGCCTCGGTGAGGAGGCTGGGCCTCCAGCTGACTCGGAGCCCTGCGAGCCGTGGGATGAGCTGGAGCACGGGGCTTAAGTCGGGGTAAAGCGACACAGGCAGCGTCCTCGTTGCGTGTCAATGATCTGAACCAGTTGAAAACACACTTTCACACGATGAATGTGCATCTCTATCATGTGTCGAGCTGGCGCACAATTTGGGCGCAAGTGTGATGCCAATCAATGTATTTGTGGTGTTATTGTGATCTTGCTCCTTCTCTCATGCTGATTGTGGCTATCGTCGGCATTTCTTCTCTGGCTTCCTCTCCTTCGAGGTCCAAGCCAAAGCAACTCGTTCAAACTTTTCCAAAGCCCAAGGGATGCTCATCCTGATCCATAGCCACTCAGCGGGTCGCAAGATGATGTCTAGGAAGCGAGGGGATTCCTCTAGAAGAAGGCAAGCAACCACCAAAGTTCCCGAAGAGTTTCCTGCTACCCAGCCCTTTGAAACATAGCTATAGGTCAGGCTTTGATCAATGTCGGCTCATCGAGAAAGCTTCCGACTCACTTGAACCTAGGCCAACACTAGCAGGGGTAGAGAAGGCACGGCGGCATGCTTTGGGGGCGGACGCAACTTGGCTCACGCGAAACATTCAAGGAGACGTGGGACCAAGAGGAACTCTAATGCTGAGGCATGAGGTTTGTAGCCATTCCTAGCTTGCACCGGCCGCGTCATCGAGTGTCTTGAGATTGGCCACATGCCAGGGCAAAGAGATGGGAAACAGGCTGTTCAGCGAAGGCGCGAGTTGGGATTGGGACAGTTTGAGCAAGCGACTGAGAAGGGTATTGTATGGTTGGCTGCCATTTTGTAGTTTGTCCAATTGGTACAAACATGTTCATGGCTCACATTGCTTGGTGTTTGTCTTTGCACAATTGTCAGGCAAGATTGAGGAATGCGAGAGGCTGGAATTGCTGGGGGCAGCTTGCTATTCTGCTCGAGTGTTCAAGCCATCAGCCAAGCTACCAGCTTGCAGGTGGTTCTCCAAAGCAATATGGCTGGCAGAAGAGTCTGGCAAAGTCAACGCCGGGATCCTGGCTGGAATCCTGCATTGGCATGCACTCCGTGAGTTCTTGTGACCGAGCTAGCTTCAGTTCTTGAAAGCAATCCAAACACTTGTGGTTCTTGAGGTGCCAAGTGACCTCAGGGGCATCTTGCACTCGAACAGAGTGCGGAGCTTGGCAAAGAGATTTGGGGGTGTCTTTGTTTCTTCGGCCTTGAGCTGTTCGGGATTTGGGGTTTGAGGAGCCCCCAAACTGTGCCTGGCTTTCCTTTTGGTTTCCCCCCAAGCGTTTTTCTTCTGGCGTTCATGTGGTTTCCCTCTGTTTTTCCTCCTTCTGGCTGCCCTCCCTGTGTTTCCCCTGTGTTTCCCCTTGGGTTTCTCCGCTTTTCCTCCGCTCCCCTGGTTTCCCCTTCGCAGCTTTTCTCGCCAATTGCCGAGGCCTTCGCCCGGCTGCGTCTGCAGCAATGGCTCCTGGCAGAGGAGGACTGCACCCAGGCGCGGAGCCGCGGGTTGGTTTGTCTTGAAATCCGGGGAGACCCGTGGGCTTGCCTCTGACGGCGTTTTTTTGTTTTGTTTCTTGGTCAAGGTTTGGATTGGTTGATGTCCTGCAACACAGGGGGTTTGGATGGTTGGCTTTTCCTTTCCACTGCCTTTTGGAGTTTGATTGGCCCTTGGGACATCAGAATTCGCATGGGAGACCTGCAAACTGGGGACCCTTTGCACATCTCTGCACATCTCCTAGGTGGGGATTCGTGTCCACCACTTTCTTAGGGGCTTGGACCTGTGGGGTACGGCCGCCAAGTTCCTCGCCTGTGGAATCGAGTCGATTCGCCCTTTGTGGGATAGGACTTTCAAGGGAAACGCGGGCGTCCAAGATGGGGCCCTTGCTTTTTGAAGAATCACCCTTGAATGCAGTTTAGTCGGCTGCAGGGTTTCAAGGGACACCACAAGGGGATTGATTCCGCCATTTCGAGGCAAACATATGCTCAATTGCAAACACTGGTACTTGAAGGTTCGTGGGGACAGACCCCTGAAAATAGATGCAGCAAGACGCCCTGCATGATCCTTTGCCATGCTTGCTTTCAGGTTTTGTGCATGCTGTCCAGCCGAGAGAGCGACAAACATATTTGGCGCCCGCAACTTGCTCAGGCGCTGGTGCTGAACGCTAGCAACTCCAAGGCGGGTCACGAGAATCTAGACTCAGCCACGCCAGCGATGAACTTTGGCGGCAAGGCTTTATACAGACGAGCACAGGCAAGGCTGGAGTGACTTGGCGGCGCTTGGATTTCCATTTGATGAATTGGACTGTAGCGCTGGACAAGATCCACTTGTTGTATTCTATGGAAACATCATTTGTGTGTGCTTTGTTGCGGCAGATCTTCTTTGAGCGCCAGGGCCAACACTTCATGTACTTGTCCTGCATCAATGTTGGGCGGATCGAAGCACGGCATACACATGCGCATCACACCCAAGTGAGTGGTCCCGCTCAAGCAAACATGTCTAGAGGTGGACATCTCAAGAACACATATTTCACCACACTGCAGGCACGAAAGGTTTGCAGAAGTGTTTTTCTTTCCCGCGCAAGCTCGCGGAAGTTTGGGTGTTTGATTTGCTCTTTCCAAAATTGCTGGCCGCAATAGAAATGCTGGATGCCGTTGTTCGAGGCTTGGCAAGAGGTCCATGGCCCTGGAGGACGTGGACAAGCTGCTGCCCATGCTGGCGGGAGATGGGCGGGAGTTTTATAAAATGTTTGGACTTCAGTACTCCTTTGAGGATTGCCCCATTTAGGCACAAAGCTTTGTTGGTGAGCAAGCTTCTGTCAAAATTTGCTGGAGATGGAATGGGGTTTTTGCCAGTGTGTGTGTGTGTGTGGTGTGTGTCTGCGCGGCGCGCATCCAGGTGATTTGCTTCAGTGAGCCATCAAAACGCGGGTTTTCGTGGAGGTTTGCCGGGTGTTGGGTCCGCTTGAATTCAGGTAGCCCTTGCTGGTTTGGATTGGACTGGTGGTTTGGTCGCCTCCAAACCTCTTCAGACCTTAGGTCGGAAGCATACCCAGCTGCGCAGGCTCCCCCATCAGACAGGGATGCCCAGGAGCTGCGGGAGCGGATTCTGGCGTGGGAGACCTGGGCGCAATCCGGACTGTACTGCTCAGGGGTGGCTTTCCTCTAGTAAGGACAAGCTCTATTTTGGAAAAAACCTCTCACTGGCCTTCAACTTTGGCTTAATCCGAGACATGGTGCATATTCCTACATAGCTGCTGAGGCTGCCAGAGAGCCCGGCAAAGAAAGCACCTTGGTCAAAAGTGCTTCGCTGCATCTGTGTTTTTTACAGTGGGACCCCCCTAAACTGGTGTCATCCCTTGGTTTCCCTTCAAACCAACGTGAAAAAGGGTAGCCTCCAACACCACGCCTTGCGTGGGACCTTCTGGGGCCGTGTCAGGCAGAGATGTTCCCAGACCTCCACTTCGAGCCTGCAGCTCAGAATCTGCGCATAGCTGCGCCCGGATGATTCCTTTTCAATGATCTATATGGTTTTTGCTCGACATCTCAGGCAGTCCTGACTTGTTCAACCACCATTTGTTCCAATCCTCGAGCGGTTTGGAGGATATGTATGTATGGTTGTAACGTATTTTTTACAGGACAAGGTGTGACAGCACTGGGCTTGGTCAAGCAAGTGGCCGCTAGAGTTGATTCGTTGGTGAAGTGGCCTGTTTGAGGTTCAGCCGCAAGGGTGTGGAGGCTGCAAAAGATGCTGGCAGCCAGCTCTTCAGCAAACAGGCGCACCACGTGCTGCGCCCTCTAGCCTTTTCAACGGGCCAACGTAAAACCCAAAGTCAAGACACCCCCAGGTGTGAGATCGCTTCTCAGCTCGTGCTTTGCAAGGACTCATTCTGTTGGCCAGGACTTGCAGGGAGCATCGCGACACTTCTCCAAGGCGCTGTGGATGCTGGAGTCGGGCAAGGCCGGAAGCCTGAGTCTGAGTTGCTTTGACGGCTTTCCCCTTGATCAGGTGGCAGATGCTGAGAGTGACGCGCCGGGAACCTTGACAGCTTTGCCTGGATTGCTTGGAGAGGATGGTGACCAACTTGTGCATGAGCCCCTGATCCGCGCATGTCAAACTGCGTCTTGTTTGTGACACATCAGTTGGAACCCCTGACAGATGACTGGTTACAGGAGGTTCATCCTCGGCACTTGGTCAGGTCCTGGTGCAACTCCACCCGCTTGGCGCTGCATTCCAACCGGGCCTTCTCCGAACTGCGGCAAGGGCACCACGGCAAAGATTGGCAGCGTTGGAGCGTCTTATTGTGAGCGACAGCAGGTCAGGCCTGCGCGTGCGGGGTCAGACTTGCTGAGTCTGTGGTTGCGGAGCGTCAGAGCAGAGGCAAGTTGGGTACAGAACAAAGCACTGGGGGAACCCCTGAAACGGTGATCTTCCCTTTGTTTCCCTTGAAACCAACCCAACAAGGGTCCCCAGAAAGCCCGCCCTTGCCGAGGAACTGGCAAGCAGCCGAGGACGCGCCTTTGGGCTCCAATTTGCTTCGATTTTTGATGGCTCGCAGGAGGACTGCACGGAAGCCTTGAAGATCAACCCGCAGGCGAATCACAACGGGTTCCTTTCTTGGGCGTGTCTTTTTTGAGGGTACCGTTGCTTTTTTGAAGTTTTTGGCTTCCGGCTTTGCTTGAGCGGCGTGGCAGAGCCTTGACTTTGATCAGATGGTGCTTCACACAATGCCGCCTTTGCCGGCATTGCAGCTCTATTTGTTCTTGTTCTTGATATTGTTCTTGACGGTACCCGTGTTCTTGATATTGTTCTTGTTGTGTTGTTGTCTGTTCTTGTCCTTGTTTTGATCCTGATATTGTTCTTGTTCCCCAGATGTGTGAAAGCTATGGAAGTTCTGGCTTCTATTTCGGACAGAAAAGTGATTTTGTGCCAGACAAGCCGGATGCTTGCGGTGATGCTGCTGTAGTGCAGGAAGCTGCCCGGTGATTCCAGGTGCCAGTAGGGTGGAAGTAGATTCCCATGGGCAGGTACAAAGATAATTGAACCACGGGGACTTGTGCCAGCTCTCAGACTGAGGGCACCCTAACCTTCACCCCGGTTTCTGCGTGCGCTCGCGTCACGCGAGCCGGCTCGCGCAACGCGCAGAATGCGCGCGTGCGAAGACACAAACCGCGGCAGGCGGTGAAGGCGCTCTATCGGCGGGCCATAGCGCGGGAAGAGTTGGGCCGCAAGGAAGAGGCCTTGAAGGACGCGGCGGACATCCTGCGGCTTGTGGGGGGCTCCCCCCAAGGGTTGGTGTTAAAAGGAAGCCGAAAGGGCACCAAAAGGAACCCACAGTTTTGGAGGCATCCTAATTTTGAGGCAGACCCACCTTCGTCCAGCGAGTTTCTCAAAATGGGACCCCTTCTGGTTGGTGGCTACAAGGAAACTACAGGGAACCAAACTTTTGGGGCACCAATATTCTGAGAAACACCCATCTGGGCCTGGAAAAGGATGCAGAGGGCTGACACTGGGCGCTTTCTATGCTATTCTCCCCTTGTGCAGGAGGAAGAGCTGGACTTCAAGTAGCTTTGTCAAGCAAACCAACCCTCTTGACTGAAACCCTATCAACCACATCCTTTTCCTACCCAAAACCGACCCTAAACCAGCCAGAAGCCATCCCCGAACCACACCACCAATCCAAACCACCAATTACGTAATTAGGGGTAGTGAAGTTTGGTCAGGGTGCCCCGAATGCCCCCAGTTTCTTCCGCCCGACTCGAGGACGCAGAGGCCGCTCTGGCGCTGCAGCCGGGTGAGGAGCGAAAGGGATTTTCATGGCTGGCTCTGTGTTTGCGGCTTCGGTCCGGTTTTTGGGGCTTGGCTTAAAGGGACACCAACAGGAACACCGAATCCCAGTTTGCGGGGATGGCACACTCATGGTTCCAGCTGAAGCCAGAGCTGTGCATCGCTTTTTGGAGAAAAGTTGTGGTGTGATGTAAAAGGGGGAACGATTCGGAACCCAGGAAGTTTTGACAAGACAGGAGTTTCAGGGAGCCAGAGCAACCTTGATCTTGATCTTCCTGGGTGAAGCTCGGGAG